AGTTTATTTATTTATTTTAAGGGAGAGAAAGAGAGCGAGCGGGGGAGGGACAGAGAGAAGGGGAGAGAAAGGGAATCCCAGGCAGGCTGCACACTGTCAGCCTGAGTCAGGGCTTGAACCCACAAACCATGAGATCATGACCTGAGCTGAAATCTGATGCTTAACTGACCGAGCCACCCAGACACCCCTTTTTATGATATTTCTTCTATTCCGCATTCAAAAAAGATTGGTAGTTCTGTTATAAAAACTCAGTGCAGTTTGGAGATATTTGAGACAAATGGCATTGACCAAAGACAAAGCAGTCAGAGATACTCTGAATATGATGATTTAGGGTTTATAATCTAAATCTGTTTTGAAAATTGTTGCTTCCTCGATACCACAAGTACACATTCCCCAAGATATAACTTGTCATTGAGTCTTTAAACATTTTCATGAAATTTTACTAGAAGGGTGCCTGGGTGACTCGGTCGGTTATTAAGCGTCCAGCTTCAGCTCAGGTCATGATCTCACGGTTCATGGGTTTGAGCCCTGCGTTGGGCTCTGTGCTGACAGCTCAGAGCGTGGAGCCTGCTTCAGATTCTGTGTCTCCCTCTCTCTGTGCCCCTCCCCTGATTGCACTCTGTCTCTCAAAAATAATAAACATTAAAAAAAAAGTTAGGGGCTCCTGGGTGGCTCAGTCAGTTGAGCGTCCAACTTCAGCTCAGGTCATGATCTTCTGGTTCGTGGGTTTGAGCCCCAAGTTGGGCTCTGTGCTGACAGCTCAGAGCTTGGAGCTTGCTTCAGATGCTGTGTCTCCCTCTCTCTGTGCCCCTCCCCTGCTCACACTCGCGTGCACGCTCTCAAAACAAACAAACAAACAAACATAAACAAACAAATAAATAAATAAATAAATAAATAAATAAATTTTTACTGGAATGATCACGAGAGTAGAATAGATGGCATCAGTTTTTGGCAGAGGAATTCCTGGTTTAACCTGAAAGAAATCAACAGGAACTGTATTTATGTAATAAAAGTGGTAAGAGTCCTTACCATGTTTTTAGCATTATAAGGTTGAAACTTATCATCAGTCTGAAAACGCTGTCATCATCTTTCATCCCTTCATCAACAGGAGAGGACCCACCATGGAGTAGAACTCTCTGACTGTCAGCAAAGTGGGAAAGACTTGAGGAAGCACTTCAACCTTAAGACACACGTGAGAACTCAAAATAGAGAGAACGCTTTTGAGTGTAACCCGTATCACAATGGCTTCCTTACTCCGCAAAAGAAAAACTCTACTAGAGAGAAGCTTTCTGAGTTGAATCGGTGTGGTAAAATCTTGCGCCTGACTCCACCTATCATGTATGAGAGAACCAGCCTGGCAGGGAAGTCTTTGGAATGCAGCGACTGTGGGAAAACATTCATTAATCATTCCCATTTTCAGGCGCACATGAGGATTCACGCTGGAGGAGATTTTGATGAATGGAAGCCGTTTATAAGGGCTTCAGTCTTCTCAGCAGACCATACTGAGCATGTGCAGACACACACTCAAGAACCCCATGAATGTAAACAATGTGGGAAATCTTATGCAGATTCCAAGTGCCTCAATAATCACGTCATTCGACTTCACACTGGAATAAAACCCTTTGAATGTAGTGAATGTAGGAAAGCCTTCGCTACATCCTCCCGTCTTTATGTGCATTTGAGACTTCACACCGGAGAGAAACCCTATCGATGTAAAGAATGTGGGAAACACTTCCAGTGGCCCTCGCTCCTTCGTAAACACGTTCGAACTCACAGTGGTGAGAAGCCCTATAAATGTAAGGAATGTGGAAAAGCCGTCAGTCGTTCGTCAGTTCTTAATGAACATTTGAGAATTCACACTGGAGAGAAGCCGTATAAATGTAAGGAATGTGGGAAACGTTTCGCTTGGCTCTCGGTCCTTCGTAAACATGTTCAAACTCACAGTGGTGAGAAGCCCTATAAATGTAAGGAATGCGGGAAAGCCCTCAGTAGTTCCTCAATTCTTAACGAACATTTGAGAATTCACACTGGAGAGAAGCCGTACAAATGTCAGCAATGTGGGAAAGCCTTCACCAATTCCTCACGACTTAGTGTACATTTGAGAACTCACACTGGAGAGAAACCCTATCAATGTAAGGAATGTGGGAAAGCTTTCGTTTGGCCCTCAGTCCTTAAAAAACATTTACGAACTCACGGTGGAGAGAAGCCCTATGAATGTGGTGAATGTGAGAAAGCCCTTGGTAGTTCCTCGTATCTTCATGAACACTTGAGACCTCACACTGGAGACAGACCCTTTCAATGTGGTGAATGTGGGGAAGCCTTTAGGACTTTCTCCTATTTTCATAGCCATTTGAGAAATCACTCTAGAGAGTAACCCTGTGAATGTAAGTACTGTGGGCAAGCTTTCACTGCTGCTTTCATCTGGATTCAACAGTTAAGAATCCACACTGGAGAGAAGCCCTGTTGATGTAAGGAATGTGGGAAAGACCTCACTTGGTCCTCCAGCCTTCACAAGCGTATACAGACTCACAGTAGAGGGAAGCCCTGTGAGTGTACGGGATGTGAGAAAGCCTACACCACTTCCACAACTGCAAATACACATTTGAAGTCCCACTGGAGAGAAGCCCTTTGAGGGTACACACGGAGGGGAGGCGTTCACCGTTTGCTCAAGCCGAACTCCATGCGTGAAAACTGATACCGCAGAGCAACCCCTTAGACATAAAGGAGTGCGAGAAAGCCTTCACGTCATGGTCACAACGTAACACCTAAAAAAGGCACCATAGATTATGTACAGAATAATTGTGACCAAATTTGTTACCCAGTTGATTTCAAAAACATGACCACCACACTGGGGGAAAACTGTATGAATATGAGGAATGTGGAAGTCTCCAGGTGTCCCACTGAATACATGAAAAAACTCACTAATTAGATGCCCCGTGAAGTTAAGCAATGTGGGAAGGCAACCAGTCTCCTACAGAGCACGCTGGAGGAACACAGTGAAGTGGTTAAATGTAAGAGACGTGGAACTCAGCTTATAGGATGGGTTTATATATCTGTTATGAACATGTGCCACTCTGCCCTGACCATTTTGGGGAAGGGTCTGGCTTCCTGCCCCTGAGAGTTTTGCTAGTCTAGTTTCAACACCTTGGTTGCAGCCTGGTCCCAAGTGAGACTACCACCATTAGACTTAATGCTGTTCAAGCCACCCGGGTTGTCTGGTCGCGTGGACCTTGTCTAATACTGTGAAGACGGTGAACATTTGAAGTAGTTAGTTCACTGCTCAGAGAGTCCACTGATGGTGCCTCATGGAGGTGAAGGTGTGGGGGTGGTATATGTCTCTAAATTTCCTGAAAATGCTCTTGGTTCTGTCTCACACCTGATCTTTCTGGGTCAGAAAAGACTTTAGAAATGGTGAGTGTTATACACCCAGATTTCATAGCTCTGCAAAGAGAGCTACACACCCAGTACTGGGTTAGAAAATACTTTCAATCTCAGTGTGTGGAGAGGTGGGGAACAGAGCTCCTAGATCACCACAACCCGGAAGAAACCAATTATGTTGTTTGCCTGTGTTTAGAAATAGCTGCAGCTGGCACGTGACTTGCTGGTTAGTTTCTCATCTTTCATATGTGGGAGATAAAGAACCTTGTGAATATGGCAAGTCCTGATAATCTGAAGTACTTGCTGCCACCACTGGCAGTTCTTCAAATTGACCTTTGGATAGAGACGCAGAATCCACCAGAACCTTGTTTCCGTACTGAGTTGACACATTCATACACTCGTGACCCTTGAGCAGCCTTTAGTTTTGTTGTGGGTGGCCTCGGAGGCCACAGCAGCTTAATGTCATTTTCGTTTGGGTTTAAACCAGTGGAGTACACGCCGAGTCAAATGTAGTGATGATCCTGATCAGAAGTGACCTGGGCACATTTGTCTTAGGTTTATGTTTGGAGGAGGTTGGGATATGAAGTGATTCTCTTGGGTGTAGGTGGGGGTGTAGGCTTCACTGATTCGTGTGGGTTGCAGTGTAGAATATGCTGGCCTTCGGTGGCATCATTGGATTATTGCAAAGCCTACCTGTCCTCATTCCAACGATCTGATACCCTCATCAGTAACATCTGTGTTTGTCAATAACCACGCTTGCCGACTTTTTGTCTCATTAGGATCCTCTTTTCGTAGTCTGATTGTCTCTTCCTTAATAAGAATGTCTTCCAGATGGGGAAATGCAAAGCACTTTCCGCCTGGTGGGTCTCACTGCTGTGACCTCCTTTTCCTATGGGAGAAGCCTGGCAGTGTAGTTCAGTTCTGCTGGAACCATTCTTCCCAGAGAAGCTTGATTGCCTCAGTGATGTACACTGTGGTACCCCCCCATGCTGGACCCCTTCATCTACAGCCTGAGGAAAAGGATGTGATGGGGGCCCTGGGAAGTCTTCACCTAAGAGAGATGGGCCCTGATGGGCCACTGGTCTCAGAACCGAGAGGATATTGTGGGCCCCAAATGCAAATGTTGTGGATTTAAATCTTGTGGTTATTTTTCTCTTGTAATAGAAACTTCATTTCCTCTGTTTCCAGAGCACCCATGACGTGCTTGTGTTTGTCTTTGTATTTGTTTCTCAACAACCTCTTTAGTAGTTCCTTTGTTACCTTTCTTCCCTAATTACAGTTCCAAAATTCTTTGGTCAGATTTCCTGTAGCCATTCCTGACATGGCCAACATTAGATGTGAAACACTTCCATCAAGTGCTGGCCTGCTTTCCTCAACTGCCCTCTCAAATGTTGATACTCTTCAAGTGCATTTATTTGGGTGCATTATTCACATGAAGAAGGGGCATGAAAAGGCTACTGCAGTTGTAATTAAAGTCCTTGCCATGTCAAAACTGTTCATCCTGTTTTACATGTATAATTTCATGCAATTATGATGTTTCTTACAGAGATCTTCTCATTTACCCCATTTCCCACCAATAGCTTGTGATTGCAATGGATTCTACCATAGAAACAGGGATGTGATTTTCAACTTCCAGTGTAGGAATGTGATTTGAGTGGTAGTTTGCTTAGGAGTTTCTATGTAGTATGTTGCATAGGAGAAGTCTGAGATACTGCCTCATTCTTTGCCTTCTGTTGTCCTCCTATCAATCCCTCTTTTCTTATCCATGTTTCATTGCACCTTTATTTTCCATCATTGCTACCTTAAGATATGCCCCGGGACCTCAGGTGGAAACTCCTTTTCTCATTGCATGATTGGCAGCTGGTGGAGGGAAAGAAGAATGAAAAATGAGTGTTTGATGGGTAGAGTTTCCCTTTGGGAATATGAAACCATCTGGAAACAGCGGTAATGGTTGCACAAAACAAAAACAGAAAAAAAACAATGTATTTGATGTGAACAGAATAGAATTGTACACCTAAGTGTTTAAAATAGTGAATTTTGTTACAGATATTTAAACACATTAAAAAAAGTAACAAGAAGAAAAGACTGAGATTCCTTTCTGATAATATCTTTAATTCTGTAATAAGGTAATAGGCAGTTGCTGGGATTTTTTAGAGAAATCTTTTTTTTTTAATTAAAAAAGGTTTTTTTTAAATGTTTATTTTTGAGAGAGAGAGACACAGAGACAGAGCACAAGTTGAGGAGGGGCAGAGAGAGGGAGACACAGAATCCAAAGCACATTCCAGGCTCCAAGCTGTCAGTACAGAGTCCGACGCAGGGCTCGAATGCATAAACTACGAGATCGTGACCTGAGCCAAAGTCGGATACTTAACTGACTAAGCCACCCAGGTGCCCCTCGAGAAATCTTTTAATACTAGCCCTGAACAGTCTAGAACAGAATCTCAAAAATTCAATATTGACATTCTGGTCTGTTTAATAATTTCTTGTGAGGGCTGCCCTGTGTAGTGTAGACTTTTAAAAGATCCCTGTTGTCTACCCACTAGGTGCCAGCACATACGTGTGGTAACTAAAAATGATAGACATTACCTTTGCATAGGGGGCCAAACCAGCCTGACAACCGCTGGAGAAAAATTCTATGGGTGCTAGAGTCGACAGTGTTAGCTTTTACACTGATGGCAATAAGAGGAAGAAAATTGTGGGGAGGATAAAACATCAGTTTAATCTTGGAAAGGGTGAGTTGAGCCTACAGAACACCTCACAGGTAACAGTATATCAGAGGTCAGTTTTACTCGTGTGTCCATTGGTCTGTACTGATGCAGGTATAAATCAAGGACATACTTCTCCAGTTTGAGAGCCTGCTTCTCTCCTCTCCTGCAACACACATACTCACCACCATATGCAGCAATGACTGAAAAGTGACCAAATACATTTTGGATACTACTGGCTTAGCCATCTTTTGCTTTGATCTAGTTATGTGATAAGTTCACTTAAGATTTCCTTAAGATTAATGCACTGAAATTCCTGGCACCACAAGATGGCAGAATATGAGGTCCCCACTTGGATCCCCCCACAGCAACAATAATCAGTCAGCCTTCCATGAACAAAAGTGCTTTGTGGAAGTTTTGGAATCCAGGTAGGAGACCACAAAACTTGAGTAGAGTCCACAAACTAGGAGGGTCATTTTGAGAAGGGACACCTATGCCCAGATGGCTGGCTCACTGGCTGTGGTTCCAGCTACACATGTGGAAACAGCCATGTCGTCATGTGGACTTCGCTACAGCCCCATTTGGCCTTGTCACCAGCACCATCACTCAGGCCCTGGAAGGAAACACATCCAGCCATGCCTCTCAGGTAACAGGCCTGCTGACCTCACTCTGAGATGCAGACCTTAAGCAAGCCAGCCGTTGACCCACCTGAAGCCTGTCTTTTAAAAAAAAATTTTTTTTTTATGTTTATTTATTTTTGAGAGAAAGAGAGACAGAGCACGAGCAGGGGAGGAGCAGAGAGAGAGAGGGAGACACAGAATCCGAAACAGGCTCCAGGCTCCAAGCTGTCAGCACAGAGCCCGACTCGGGGCTTGAACTCACAAACCATGAGATCATGATCGGAGCCGAAGCCGGAAGCTCAACCAACTGAGCCACCCAGGCGCCCCCCACCTGAAGCCTCTCTTAGCTGTGGTCTTCCCCACAGAGGAATCCAGAAGGACATGTGTCCATCTGTGAGCCTGGAGGCAGGCCTACTAACCTTGGTCTGACTGCAGATCTTAAAGCAGCCCACAACCCAGCTCCCGGCACCAGGCCACGATATAGGAGGAGTCCTGCCCATCCTGGGACCCTGGGGGAGACTGGCCCATCAGTGCCCCCTGAGGCAGGCCTGCAGAACCTGGTCATGGCTGTGGGCCCTAAGTAGCCTTGTGAATTGGCTCCAGGCCCTCTCAGCTGTGGTCTGGGACCATTTGTGCCTGCCTAGTCGCACAACTAGAAACGCTACCACCATCTTTGGACCCTGAAGAGAGTGCTTGTCTTGGTGTTGGCCAAGGTCTTGGAGGGACGACCTTTGACCAGGGTCCAAAAAAGGATGATGGCCCTGACAACGGGACAGTATGGCACAGACTCCAATGCAGACCCAGTAGCAGCCATGTGACTGGTGTCAACCCCACTTGACTATGATTCTGGAGGTAGAACCCATCAGTCCAGGGACCCATACAAGACAGTTTTTACCTATGAAAACAGTCTATACACTCTTAAAGAGATGTTTGCTCTTTCAGTTATGGAGACACAAATGGCAAGCCCCGTTGCCTGCAGATAGAGCCAACAGACCATTAATTAAGTAGCCTACACGGAGCTGAGAGATGAAGGACTTTCTGTAACTATGTGACCCTATAACGACTGCAAGAGTGATTGATTACTCAAATGTGCAGATCTAACACAAAGAGGCAATGATCCCAAGAATTAGGTAAACATGTTACCACCAATGGAATTAACCCCAAGCTGAACACCTACAGCGGTAAATGCAACAAACATTACCAACCTTTATATATATACCACTAAATATTAAGACTTGTATACCATTCAAAACAGTGTGATATGAGCATAAGTAAATGCAATATGAGTGAAGGAGTGTCCAGAGACCAATACAGGAATTCACTGTTTAATCAAGTTGGAATTTCAAATCTATAGGTCAAGAATAGCTTGTAAGTGGTACTGAATCCATCATCTTTTCTAGGGAAAAGAACTACTGGATCCAGTACCCTACCCCACATGTAAAATATATCCTATGAGGATTAAAGACTTTGGTGTTTTGGAGCACCTAGGTGGCTCAGTCAGTTAAGCGGCCGACTTCGGCTCAGGTCATGATCTGGAGGTTCATGAGTTTGAGCTCCTTGTCGGGCTCTGTGCTGACAGCTCAGAGCCTGGTTTGGATTCTGTGTCTCCCTCTCTCTCTGCTCCTCCCCTGCTCATGCTCTCTCTCTCAAAAATAAACATTAAAAATTTTTAATAAAAAAAAAAAAGTTTGGTGTTTTTATTTTTTATTTATCTTTTGGTGTTTTTAAATAGATTCTATTTAAGAAGTAAATTACAAAATCTGTATGTAATTGAGATTTTTAAGGCAAGTTAGGAAATCCATATATAATTTTTAAAAAATATTTATTTTTTGGGAATGCAAGCTGGTGCAGCTACTCTGGAAAACAGTCTGGAGGTTCCTCAAAAAATTAAAAATAGAACTACCCTATAACTCAGCAAGGTTATATCCCTAGGTATTTATCCAAGGGATACAGGTATGCTGTTTCAAAGGGACACACGCACCCCAATGTTTATAGCAGCAGTATCAACAATAGCCAAAGTATGGAAAGAGCCCAAGTGTCCATCGATGGATGAATGGATAAAGAAGATGTGGTATATATATACAATGGAGTATTACTCGGCAATCAAAAAGAATGAAATCTTGCCATTTGCAACTACGTGGATGGAACTGGAGGGGATTATGCTAAGCGAAATTAGAGAAAGACAAATGTATGACTTCACTCATATGAGGACTTGAAGGCACAGAACAGATGAACATAAGGGAAGGGAAACAAAAATAATATAAAAACAGGGAGGGGGGCAAAACATAAGAGACTCAAATATGGAGAACAAGCTGAGGGTTACTGGAGGGGTTGTGGAAGGGGGGATGGGCTAAATGGGTAAGGGGCATTAAGGAATCTACTCCTGATATCATTTTTGCACTATATGCGAACTAATTTAGATGTAAATTAAAAAAAATAAAACTAATAAAAAATATTTATTTTCGGGAGAGTGCAAATGGGGGCAGGGTGGCAGAGAGAGGGGGACAGAGGTTCTAAAGCAGGCTCTGTGCTGAGAGGCTGACAGCAGGCTGACAGCCCGATGCAGGGCTCAAACTCACAAACCATGAGATCATGACCCGAGCCAAAGTCGGGTGTTCAACCGACTGAGCCATCCAGGCACCCTCATATACAATTTTTTTTAAATTTTTTTAAGTTTATTTTTTAATTTATTTTGAGAGAGAGAGTGTGGAAGGGGCAGAGAGAGATGGAGAGAGAGAATCCCGAGCAGGCTCTGCACCATCAGCACAGAGTCTGATGTGGGGCTTGAACTCACGAACTGTGAGATCATGACCCGAGCCGAAACCGAGTCAGACACTTAACCGACTGAGCCACCCAGGCTCCCCCCTCATATATAATTTTTAAAAGCACTTTTTTGGGGGCACCTGGGTGGCTCAGTCGGTTAAGCATCCAACTCTTGGTTTCAGCTCAAGTCAGGATCTCATGGTTCCTTGAGTTCGAGACCCACCTCCAGCTCTGTGCTGACAATGCAGAGCCTGCTTGGGATGCTCTGTCTCTCTCCCTCTCTCTCTGCTCCCCCCTGCCCTTGTTCTCTCTTGCTCTCAAAATAAACATTAAAAAAACAACATTCAATGATATTTAAGAAAAATTAAAATAAAAACACTTCTTTGCCTATATAAAATTTAATGATTTATGCAATAAACATGAAACATTAATGTAGCAAAATAGGTATCAATTCAATAGATGGGTACAAAACATTTAATGATTCACATGAACAAGTCTGGATGAAATATGTTTTAAATCAGTATTTCAAAAGATCTTTTATTAACTGTACAAAGATAACCCACTCAAAATCACAGCAAATATAACTTTAGAACCATTCCTGAATAAGGGAAGAATGCCCAGTGTTAGTGGTTTTTCACAAAGCAAGAACAAAAATATACATGTGAACAAAATATGAAAGATTTATAAAATTGTCATTACATTGAAAACACAAGGAATCAATGATTAGAGTTTACCATTACGTCCAGTGTAACCAAAAACAAATAAGGGGAGGGGCGCCTCAGCTCAGGTCATGATCCCAAGGGTTGTGAGATGAAGCCCCCCCCCCCCCCCCGTCAAACCTGCGTAGGATTCTCTCTCCCCTTTCCCCTCTCCCTGACTCGAGAACTCTCTTGGTCAAAAACAAAAAACAAACCAGACTTCTTACCTATATAAAAATTAAAAGTTTCTACAGTTATTAATGAAACATTAACTTAACAAGAGACATATCAATTCAATGTATGCATAAAGCACGTTGCATGATGTACATGGACATTTCTTTCACTTTTTATTGATGAACAACTGACATACAATACTGGATTACCTTTAGGCGTCCACGTAGCAATTTGATATATATATATCCTATACAATGCACACATCCTAAAATAGTCACCACAGTAAGTCTAGTTACCATCTGTCACCAAAGTTGTTACAATGTTGGATTGGCTTATATTCCCTATTGTGAACATTATATCCAGTGTCCCAGTTATTTTACAACCGGAAGACTGTACATCTTAATCCCCTTCACTTATTTCCTCCATTCCCTCCCACTCCCCTCCACTAAGTCTTGAGTAGATGTACTCTAGTCCTGTTTAAAGATATCTTTACTAACTGCACAAAGGCCATCCAATGAAAACCACAGCAAACGTGATTAGGGGAGCAACTTTATAACCATGCCTGAAGAGAGGAATGCCTGGTATCAGTGCGATCTCACAAAAACAGATATACATATTTGACACAGAAAAAGGAACGATTTACAGGAACTGTCATAACAATGAAAGCAAGGCATCAACGACTAGACTTTAGCGTCGTGTCCAACGTAAACGACAATGAGAGGAAATCAAGGCCTAGAGACGGGATAGACTGCGGCAGACAGACTATGTGACGGACTCTCGGGCTTAACGACAAGGACAACGACGTAGAGTCTCCAGGACGTGCAGGGAGGCCGGCAGGAAACCATTTACTGAGCAGGCTGTGGGGTTGAGCCCATTGGCGCCCTGCCACCGCCCCAGGGAGCTGGGCCCCGCCCCCCACCCCCGGCTCGGTCCCCACCCCGCCCCGCG